TAGATTTTAAACCTGCTAATGGGCGTTCACGGTCGTGTTATGCTGCTCTACTTTTGGGAGCTTGCAAAGCCAACTTGCCAAGAAAATCCACAGAAAGCAATTGATTGTTGTTCTCGTAGTTTTTGCCAGAACCTGTGTCTGATTGTTCTCAGAGTTTTTACCCCACCCAGGACCCAGATGCCGGAAAATCCATCCTGACCTCCCTGTTCCAACAGAAGGATCCACCGAGCAGCAAGATGTACAACTCTCGAGGGAACCGAGGCTTGGACACCACTTTCAGCGCATAGCCTGCAAGGGCCAAGAAAAACTGCCAAGGGCCGCCCTAAGGTGACAACTAACAATATATATATAATATATATATAATATATAATATATAACAACACTACGAATGATTCACGATTATCACTCATCATAATACTAGGAACACTAGTAATAATACGACAAGACCCTGAGGTTTGCCCGGACTCGCAACGAGCGTCTGGGCAAGCCAGGATGACGATGATGATGATGATGATGATGATGACGATGACGACGATGATGATGATTATGATTATGATGATTATGATTTTGATGATTTTGATGATTTTGATGATTTTGACGATTTTGATGATTTTGATGATTTTGATGATTTTGATTGATTTGATGATTTTGATGATTTTGATGATTTTGATGATTTTGATGATTTTGATGATTTGATATCTTCTTGAAACCCTAAAAGAAACCCTAATGACTGCACTGTATGGTGAATTGTTCCATGGGGGCGGGGGATTTAGATATCTTCTTGAAACCCTAAAAGAAACCTTAATGACTGTATGATGAATTGTTCCATGGGGCCGGGGATTTGGATATCTTATATCTTCTTGAAACCCCCAAAGAACCCCTAATGACTGTATGGTTAATTGTTCCATGGGGCCGGGGGACTTTGATATCTTCTTGAAAGAAACCCTGCTAATGATTGATATGATTGTATGGCTAATTGTTCCATGGGGCCGGGGATTTGGATATCTTCTTGAAGCCCTAAAAGAAACCCTAATGACTGTATGGTTAATTCCACATGATATGTAGAAGCGACATGTTCTGGTTGTATGATATGTAGAAACATGTAGAAACAACATGTTGTGGTTCAGACCCTGGCAAAATAATTGAACATAAACTCCTTCCCGTTCTTTGACGTCGAGACTTCCCTGGTATTTACCGCTTTTTTGGGCTTGGGCAAACATCGGGGTTTGTGTGTAATAATAGTAATGACTAGTAGAAATAATTAATGGTAAGAATAATAAATATTAATAATAGTAATAAGATGTAATAAGTATATAATAATGATGATGATAAGCTGGTTGATTGGCAAAAACACCAAAAATATCACACTTGCTCTGGATCTTCATCCCGCCAAAATGATGTGGGTAGAACAATGCCATAAACCACTACCATGACTGGGAATGGTAACCATACCATCTGTGAAAATGGTGATGACTGGGGGATGCTTTATTATGGTTTATTATTGTTTTACTATGGGGTTTATGATGGTTTATTATGATTTATTATGGTTTATTATTGTTTTACCCACATTATATACTAAAATATATGACTTCATATACCCTCTGGTTATTTAACATAGCCATGGAAAATCACCATGTTTAATAGGTAAACCCAGGTAAACCATCTATTTCGATTAGGGCCATCGAAAAACCATGGCTATGTTAGTCATAACCAGAGGGTAGCTTTCGACACAGCCCCATCGAAAAGAAGCCATGGAGACATCACGCTTGGCATCCCAACGTGACACAGCGACACGCTCCGTGTCCGACTCGGCGCCGCGATCGAACAGAAGCTGCACCTTTTCAACGTCGTCCACGCTGCACCGTTGCAACGGGAGAAAAGTTGCACTAAAAACAAAAGGGGAGGTTTTGCAGAATCACAATGACAATGGCAACAAAATGTGGTAGTAGTGTATAGCAATGTATTTCAATACAAGATTACCATAATAATATCGCAACTATGGTTTAAAAAAAAAAGAAGCAATATGCATGATGATAATGATGATAATAATAATAATACTTATAATGGTAATAATGGTAATAATAGTAATAAATACAACCATCATCATCGTCATCATCATCATCATCTCCCAAAATGGTACGGTACCTCTCAAGCCGGGAGCCATCTGCATGACAATGGCCCCTCCTACCCTTGCAAGACACACACAGCAAGGGGCCCAGTGATACTTGCTCCGGCCAAAAAAAACCGTGGGAGTCCGGTAGACGACATGCATGTGAATCAGAATTGCTCTAACGGAAAAGTTGTGGACAACCTCACGTTTGTTTTGCTAATTTTGGAGAGATTACTCATGCGTTTCTCAAGGATAACTGCAAGGTTTCTTTCACCATCCCAATGACAAAAATGAATAAACATTGGGAGTATGATTTCTGATCCCAATCATCAAGACCTGGCAGTATAGGTTTGGCCTCAAATTGGTCCCAAAAAACCACAATGTCGGTCATTTCTAGTCCTGCTCTCATGAAATTTATCACTTTCCTATGGAAAATCACTATGTTCAACAGGGTACGGGAGACCATGTGCAAAATGGGCCATTTTCCATAGTAAATTGTGGAAAAAATGACCCTCCGGGTAACCCATCCACCGGCCCAGCCGCCAGTTGTCTCACACATTCCTGGGGCCCTCCTTCGATCGCTGCAGCCAGTGAAGATGAATCCAGACCATCCTTGGATGCTGCTAGCCTGTGCTGAATCCAATATGTGTTGGATTTTTTTTTGTAGGAACCCCAAACACCCCAAAAACACAAAAGGGCAAAAATTTAAGCCCCTTTCTGAACAAGAAATGAAATGGAAAATGGATGGAAAATATGCCAAACATCCCATTCAATTTCAGATAAAAACAATTGCAAATATAGAAATCCTCAGTCTCCACCCCAGCCCCGTGCACCTTTGGTGTACCCCATGGCCAAAGGTATCCAAAATGACCGTGGTTTCTTGGGACATTCTCATGTCCCACCTCCTCGCTTTCGTGCCCTGGAGGAAAGGCTGGCGGTCTCGGCAGATCTTCTTCCTCGCCTGGGGAGTTTCGATGGTATCCATTCCTTTAGCATCCGCGAAAATGGTATGTTTACCTGGCAAAAAGGATAGGTTCACACCACGAAAATTGGGGAGTTAAGCAAAAAAAAATGGATATGACCAAACAAAAAGCAGGAGGTTAAGCCACAAAAGCATGAGATTTCACAAACAAACAGAGTGTATTCACCCAACAAACGTCAGCAGAAACGTGCGGACATCAAGAACTTGTAGAAATGGTATGTTGTCAACGAAAATTGGTCTGGAAATGAGGAACCAAAGATAAGAAAAGGTTAGCACAGTGTGAATCACACTGAAACCTGCGCCCCAAACATTGACCCTTTGTGAGAAGTCCCCAGTCAGACACAATGGTGAAATGGAAGAAAAACACGTAGAAAGTCCGATGGCAGTCCGATGGTTCTTTATCATCTCACCCATTAAGAAACAACCAGAAACCTAGGATTGGTCTTGGGTTCATTCATTTCTAACACCATTTTGGGGGGATGTTGTCATGATTTTTTGGGGGAGCGGATGATACCAGAAATGTTTGATGATGGACTATGATTTTGCCCAAGGGAAATTGCCATGTTGGGAGTGTATACAGTAGCCCATGTTCAGGCACACGCATCATCTTGCTGGAGAGTCTATCCCCATCATATTATAAATGATACATTACATAATGATATATATATATATATATATGTATGTGTATAATGGTGTGTATATATAATTATATATAATGATATATAATGATATATAATGATATATATTGATATATATATATAATGGTATATATAATGATATATGATGATACATAATGATATATAATAATATATAATGATATATAATGATACATAAAAATATAAAATGATATATGATGCTATATGATGATGTATAATTAATGATATATAATGATATAAAATGATATATGATGCCATATAATGATATAAAATGATATATATATATATAACGATATGTATATGGTGATATATGTGTATATATATAATGATATGTATATGGTGATATATAGTGATGTATAGTCTAGTGATATATAATGATGTATATATATATATACAACATATGATATTCCAATACTATCCCATGATATCCCTATGGTATCCCCGTGCTGCCTGCCCCCACCGGCTGCGCCATCTCCGCTCGTGGGGGTGGAAAGGGCGGAGGCCGGGGCGCAACGGGCGCAACACGCCGCCGTGCCCGTGCCGCCTGCTGCTCCTCTTGCTCCTCTTGCTCCTGGAGGAAAACCATCACCAGGGAACCCAGGGAAGCCCGGGTTACCCCCCAGTTTTTTGATGATCATTCCCATAGGATCCATGGTGCTGCTATATATGGTAACATGGATCCCATCATATAGCCCCAATGTTAGCATATATACCAGCACCATGGATCCTATGGGAATGATCATCAAGATTGTTTCAATGATATTAATGAATATTAGTGATATATATAGTTCATCAACTATAAAGATCTACTGTGATGTGAAAAAGATTGATCTTTGTGAAAATCATCATGAACTCACTCTAGGAACACAAGCATCAGCCAACCTCCGGAAAGATGAGTCTTCATCAATGTTCATGCATTCGGCCCAGAGAACCCGCCTAGCATCCAAGCGGCAGCCAAGCCAACTCCCTAGCAAAAATCCTGCCCACACAAACCCCAAGTCATCATTCAACATCGTTAAACACATTCATTCCCCAACCATTCCCCCAAACTATCAGCTGACCCAAAAAAAATACATATAACTAAATCAAGATTGTCCTTTTGGCAATCATGAAGGGGTCGGTTTGGTATATATAGAATATTTCATCATTTACCTGTCGGTTGTTGAATGGGGAACCCTCTATTAAATCAACCAACAAGTGCAAAAACGACATCTATAGCCTATAGCCCAACCGTTCCCCCAAGTATCAAACGAACCCCCATCATCAAGATTGATATTCATGCTGAAATCGTTGCTTAAAGTCAGTAACCCCGGAAACCCCGATCAAAAAAGACACCATCCTCCAAACCACCAGCTAACCAACCCCAAACCCTGTCCCAAACCAAAATATTAATATTCATATTTACAATAACAACCCTAACCCAAGCATCTCCCATAATCACTAAACCCAAGATTGATATGTATATTATAATATAAATATATATATATATATTCACTCAACTTCATCATGTGTCATACTAAAGTTCATATATATATATATAATTCATATATATATATATCATAATATATTCACCAGAAAAAAATCCAACCCCGCTGACCCCAACGTCCGGGTCCTTGATCTCCCTCTTGGTGCTCCGCAAATCTGCCTGCGGCGCGAACTTCCGCTGGAATATCTGCAGCAGATCCTCGTGGCCGCGCAAGATCTTCACGGCCAACCTGGCGCCGCCGCGGCGCCGAAACACGAAATCCTGGTGGGAAAAATTATGGGGAAAACCACGGGAAAAACATGGGAAATCATTGGATAAATCTGGCACAGGATGAATTTGGATTTGGACGTGTTTTTTGGGGGGGACTGAGTTGCTGTGGTCCAATGTGACGAAAGTTTGGTGTGCGTGAGAGCAAAAAACGGCAGATGTAGCCAGTGTTGAGGATACAGCCGAGAATCAAGGACATTTCTTATTAAAGTCATTGTCCAAGAATAGGTTGGTTGTTGATGTTGCCGTTGATTTCAATACTGCATTTCGCAGGAAACTGGAAATTCATGGCTATCTTTTACATTCTTTCACTTGACACGTTGCAGGTGCCGAGGAACATTCGAGACACCTAGAAGTGCACAGTGCTCTCTAGGATCTCTAAAATCGCTGTTGAGACTTGAAATCTCGACTACCAAGTGCAAAAAACATCCCTCTTTATCATAGTCATAGTTCATCATGTTTCATCATCTTTCACCAAACCATTTATAATTCATTGAGTAAAATTGATAGGAAACTACCAGAAGGTGATACAATTATCCATTATTTGTCCATGATTGTTGGTCATTATCCCATTTTTAACCTTTTATGAACAACTGTTAATCATTATTAACCATTACTAATCATATCTAACCAGCATTAACCATTGCTAACCATGGATAACCATTGCTAACCACCTTTTAATCACCTTTCATCGTCACTCAGCTTGGAAGATTGGGCTGAGCAGCTTCACATCCACAGTGCCCGAGAGCGCCACCACGAAACGATGATATTGCTCCACCTGACATGCAAAGCTAGGGAAAGCCATGGATAGATCCAGACCATGTTCCCGAACCCATTTGGTAAACGTTTCAGAAAATCATCCGATTGTTGGTAGAATCCCCATGTTGCCTAGATCTAAAAACAACGTTGGAAAACATGTGGGTTTCTGCTTTAAAAGAATACCAACGATACCCCAAATCGATCCAAATCGAGCATCAGGAGTCTGGTTATCGTGGCGACCCCCAAAAGAAATATTGGTAAACTGCAGGGTTTATTAATCCCATTATGCCATTATCATAAGGAATAATAATTCCAAACAATCCATAAATGATCATTGATTATTAGATCGTATTAGATCCCAAGAATATCCCATAAATTGACCATTATCTACAAATTATCTACAAAATTATCTACCATAATAAATCCATCATATCCCCATTTTTCGAGGAGAATTCTCCCATCTCCCCAGCGGACCTTGCCCCACTCCATGAGCCGGCCCTTCACCGCGGCCAAAAAGGCGGAGGCCGACATTTCATCGGCTTCATTGGGGCCCTGGCCAGCGACGGGATTTGGCCTGCTCAAGTCACCTAAAGGGGTCACAAAAAAACTGGGTGTCCTTTCAAAACATTTCAAAACATCACCCAAAAGTACAGATATTTTTTTTTGCCTACAGAAATATTGTCTATGGTACATGATTGTACTTTTTTTATTACCCAAACGACTATTCCTAGTGGTATTCAGATATATGGGGATAAGTCAAAACCCTGGTACCTTTTGTTCACCCCAAGTCATAGCTGGGTTAAAATGGATGTTCATCCCACTAAAAATGGTATTTTCATAGGTATTGACCCATACCCATATATTTTTTGGCACCCTGAAAACGTCGAAACAGAACTGGTCCAAGTCCGGGCGCCTCCGCAGGCTCCGCAGGCTCCGCAGGCTCCGCAGGCTCCGCAGGCTCCGCAGGAAACGGGTCGGGCGCCTTTGGTGGGGCTAATCGTGGAAGAACTATGGTTAAGGTACCCTCTGGTTACTTAACATAGCCATGGAAAATCACCATTTTTAATAGGTAAATCAACTATAAATGGGCCATCTATACCATGGCTATGTTAAATAACCAGAGGGTAATTGAATTTATCATAGGCATCCCAAGACTATAATCAACTCTGATAATTGATGATAATGATGATCTATATGATGATAATTATAAGATTGTAAATTATAGCTATAATATGATGATCTTAATTAATTGGTATTAATTGACTACAATCAACCTATAAATGATAGGATGAATTTCATTGTTGCTGCTTCAATTCTTGTTTTTAGCGTCGTTGTCACGAAAAAAACAAGTTGTTTTCCCGGTAGGGTCACCTTTCTGATTAGTAATTATCCTTATCTTTTTTATGCATCTAGATGCATCGATACCATCAGGGACACCATGTTTTATACATATCCCAGACTCATGACACCAGGTCACCGTCGTCGCAGTGCGCTTTTTGGGCCGTTTTTTCGCGGCCGGATCTTCCTCCGCCTGCCTCCCGGGGCCATGGAGGTGTCGTTTTCGCTGGGAAATCAACGGAGGGATGTTCCAACGAGCCATGTTTGATGACCGGGTAACTGGATTACCCTCTGGTTATGTCAAACATAGCTATTGAAAATGACCATTTATAGTGGATTTACCCATTAAAAATGGTGATTTTCCATAGCTATGTTAAATTACCAGAGGGTATACCATGGTTTCGTAATGTGATTTTGTCGACTTTGTCGAACATCCAGATTCTTGCATATCACTTGAAGAGAGACAAACAGCTATTGCTGAAAAACAAGAATGGCAGTAGAAATCAATGAAAATGGCTGGTAACATGTGGTTAACCATGATATACCATCGTGTCTGATTCACAAATTGTAGGTGCAGTTATCCGATCACCAAGGTTCTATCAGGGGGTACAATGCCACTGGTTTATGGGCTATGGTCATCCATCCCATGGGAATATCCCTCAATATGGGTGACCATGGTACCACAATTTACCTGTGAGATTCCAGACCTCAAAACATCCAAATGGGTCACGTCCCAAGAAACTTTGACTTTATTGGTTTCTGTCATTTCAGCCATGATCATAACAAATCTCAAATACCAAACATCTTACATCATCTTACTTAGCTGGTGAGTCTATTTTTCATGGGTAAAAATCAAGCTATTGGGCTATTGGCTTTACCCCCCAAAAAAAATGCAACAACTCATGATTCACAACTGCACCTGGCCCGTCGTTGCCGCAGCCGCTCTTTGCGGGACATTGGCACCATGGCGCCTTCGAAAGAGCCCGCAACAAGTTTCCCTGCGGCTGGGCTGCGGTGCAGCCAAGTGGAAAAATATGGGTAGGTAGTGATAGGTCTGACTTGATTTGGAAATTTCATCCAAAAACCATGTGTTCATCTTGTTTTATTATGGGACACAACTGTGGCGCAGATTATCATATTGTCATTTGCTTGGAGCCTCCAATGTCACCTGACACCTTGATGAATGGTCAAATTTACAAAGCGGGAGAGTGCCACCTGCCACCCTGGTCCAGAAATAACACAGTCTCAGTGAATAAGTTGAGTGATGCGCCCCACAGGGATTGCCAGGAGGTAACTTTCATGATTTCATTTCAGCCAAAGTGTGAGAGCTCGAGGGGCCGCGGCGCACTGGGTCTGCTTGATACCATCATGAGGTCGGTTTGAAGGAAATGTTACAGGCTGTAAATAGCCCCTTCATCCAACTCTTTTCGTTTCTGGCCATTTCTCGTTGGATTGGACTTCGCTAAAAGCTTCCAGATTCTTGTGATGGTGACAGGCTTCCAATTCTTGCTACATCTTGATTCCTGAAGATTTGATGTTAGGCTCAAGGCCGGTCAAGGCACTCAGTGAAGCCCAAAAAAAGAATGGCACTTTACTTTACAACAGCCAAAGCCCATTGAAATACCCTCTGGTAAACTAACATAACTATGGAAAATCACCATTTTCAATGGGTAAATCCACTATAAATGGCCATTTTCAATAGCTTTTTGTATGTTTACCAGAGGGTACTCTCCGGGCTCATCAAACGTGGGACATCCCCCCGCTGTGGCCACCCAGCATGATCTTCCTGGAATCATTCGCAGGAATGATCCATCTCCTAAGTGATCAGGGGCCAATCTGGAGCCCCATGAATGAGGGGGTTGCTGAATATATCTAGATATTATTAGATATTATATATATATATCATATTTATCATGCTATATCATGATAATATATTATATCCCATATAGGGGGATTATCCATCTACACCTCCGCTGTGCGTAGAAAAAATCGGCAGCCCAGGAATTCGGAGAGGTCGAAGCAATATACTGTCTAACCAATATGTATCACGAACAAGAAACATGTTTATAGCTCTTAACTGAGATATATGTAGATAGACTTAGATGGATGCATATTTGGGATTTTTCACCAAACTTGGCAAATTCGAGGCCACCAAACTTGGCGAGTTCACTGATGCGAGGCCACCCCCGTGCCCTACACAATCCACGTCCGAGAAGTGTAAAGGTGGGGATGGGTCAAAACCATTGGAAACCCCTGTAGTTCACATCAAAATAGCTGGTAAATGGCATTAATAGGTATCATCTGTTATAATCATCTGTATAGATCTATAACCATCTATAATCATCTATAAATCTATAACACATCTATAATCATCCCCCTAAAAATGGTATTAATAGGTATTGATCCATACCCAACTAACCAAACATGGGTCAACTTACATCAGCCATAGACCAAAAACTGTTCGACTCCCCCGGGCATTTCCAGGAGCACCGACTTCAACACGTCCTGCGGGTGTCCCAGAGGATTGGAAAAAGTTGAATGGAAAACCCATCACTAACAAGTTGCCTCCACATCTTCCACTCTTGTCCATATTTTTACATATTTTTACTATGAAATCAACTCCAATCGGTTTCGGTGCACTCAAACTCCAGATGGTTCATGGTGAAATGTCTCCCTTCACCATCCGAATTGGAGATCTCCTGCATCTGCTCAGGTTCCGTGATCACCTTGCCATTCTTGTCCCGTCGTTTTGTGGCGATTCTTTGTACCTTTTCCTAAGCATGGCGCCCAACATCCCCAACGGTAGTGTGGAAAGCCCCAGTGGCTAAACCCCAATTGGGAATGCTTGGAATGGTCCATTCCTGGGAGATTTTTGCAGTCCGTGGTGTATCCGATCCAGGGAAGATAGTGCAGTCTGGGTCACCTGTGAGACTTGACCAAAAATGACCAAAAAACAGCCATGTTTTTAAGGCAGAGATCCATCTTTTTTTTTCATGTTTCACACCATTCCCTTTCGCATCTTTCGCTTGAAACATTCAGTTGTTGGGGTTCCAGAATGGACACTGGTTTACACTGATCACGGACAAAACATTTGAGGCCCAAACAATGGTCGCCTGCGGTCAACGGCTGATGAAATCTCAAGAATCCTGAAAAACAGACCCCTCCCTTCCTGAAAAATAAGAAACCAACGGAGATTCCGAGTCCTTGGTAGCAAAAAAAACCATTGAGATCTCCGACAGATTTTGGGAATGGGGTCAAAACTGTAGCTATGAAACCACAGGCATGTTGCTTAGCATTTTGGAGTTAAACTCCATCCATTTACAGTAATCCATTTATGAGAAAAAAATGGCAAAACAAATTTGAACCTCTCAACATCCCAGGTTTCCCACCGCCTGCAACAAGCCTGCTTCGTCCACCTCATCGAAGGCCTAGGCCACAAAACCCCGGAAACTTTCCCAACAAACCGATGATGGCGAAAATCCTGCTGTTGCTGTGGCAAAACCAACTGAAAGTGGTTAAAGAAGGAAATCCATTTAAATTTAAAATATATATAGTTATAGTTGAATGTCAGAAAAAAAAATGTCGACTTTCAGATTCATTAGTCATTACACCCAGGGCAGTTCTTGGATCTCTCCCAGCATTGGGTGGATCCCCCAACAACATGGCTGGTGGGCTTGGCAGGGTACATATCCATCGTGCCCATGCCGCAAAATTTCAGTGGTCGCTGGGTCAAACCATTCGTCACCCCCTCATCTAAATCAACATGGTTGCTGGGTAGAACACTGGTTTGATTAGACTACTTGCCATTGTCCCTTGTGTTTCATGGAAAAAAAAAACATTGTTAAAAGTGAAGAATTACTTTCTTCGAGTTATCTCCACTCTGACACACTATTCTGACTGACATAGTTTCTGACATACCATCTGGAAGTATATATGGCATATACCCTAACATTCTATCTGGCATTATTTCTGGCGTTCTATCTGGCATCTATTCTGACATTCTTTCTGGCATCTATTCTGGCATTTTATTTGGCATGTGTTCGGGTCCGGGCGCCCTGTTGGCAATAGGGGGTTCGGGTCCAGGCGCCCCTGGAAGGCATCCGGAGCTGGCAGAAGGAGAAGGCGGAGGAGGAGCGGGAGGAGGAAGAAGGTGAAGGTGAAGAACGTGAAGGAGAGTAGGAAGAAGGAGTTGCACCTTTGTTTAAAATCTAGAGACCCGCACCTGGTAGGTGGGGAAACATGATTGCCATTTTATTCTCACATGAACCCCATGTTATAACCATTTTTATGTCCATATGATTCCCATAATATGTTTTCATATGAGCAATCAAAAAATACCCCTATCCCATCATGAAATACTAGTTGATTGATAGGTTTCCCTATGGTTATCATAATTCCCAATACATGAGCTATGTACAATTAGTCCCTGTATCAACCAATCAACCAGGGTATAATAAGCATCATGTATCAGTTATATCCACTTATATCCCATAATCTTTGCTTAAAACCGCTATTAAATCCCCCAATAATCTTCAGTTATCAACTATATCCCCATATTGATGGACACATATTGATGGTTATTCCACATGATTCCAATATCATTCCAATATTATTGCCATATGATATTGTGTCGATATTAATGTCTATATCTTATTGCCACCTCCGCAGACATCACCAAAACTAAAACCCGCCTCACTCGGAAGCTGTCGGACATCGGTGGCCTTTCCGCGGTAGACCTCGGGTGGAGAACCCTGGCCGTTTGATGGTTTTATCATGATTATATAATGTGATGTTATAGTGATTATAATGAGTATAAGGTAATATATGTGATATATATATATATACATACGTACAGTATACATATATATATATAATCATAGGGAAAGTGATTCATTATAATGTGATTCTTAACATGATTGTCAATATATCTGTTGATATGATGCTTAATATGATGCTTGATATATTGGTTGGTGTGTTGTTTAGTAGAATGGGTACATTGCGAGAATAAGACATGGTTTGCTGGAAAATCCTCCATATAGTTTGATGATGTTCCCAGGTAGAAAGCGCCATGGCTAGTTCGGGGATTTCGCAGCCAACCATGTTGGATTCCCAAATGGTAGTACAATAACCAGCACTGCCAATATAGGAATGTGGATAGTTACCATAATGGATTATGATTGTATACATAATCATTATGTGGATAGTTTATGATAATCATCGAAGGTATATAATGTGGATAGTTACCATAATGATTGCTTGATCATCCCCAATGTATTGGATAGTTTTTTAGCACCTGCCATGTTTAAAACCCACTCTGAAAAATGGCAGAATCAAAGAACTGGGAGAATTCGCCGGGGTGATCCACCCGGGGAGAGCAACCAGCAAACATTGGCATCTTGATGTACAAAACCAAGAGGGTCACAATGGGAAATACATGGCAAAATCATCAACAATCCATGAAATTGGCCTAGGAAATACATCAACAGTTCAACAATTCCATACAACATCATACAACCATGAATCATGGCGGGTTGGATCAACAATGGCTTCTTTGCATCATTTGCGGGTGTGTGCTCATGGTTTTGTCGGCTGTCCGCTGGAGCCTGGGCAATGAGGAACCAGAATTCATTGGTTTGGTTTTCTTGGGACAATCTTAACAGGAAACCACGCTTTTCCCTATCAAATATCGAAAAAATCCTGGTTTCCAGTCCCTTAAAACCCATTCAACAAATTTGAAGAATTCATACCCTCCAAGTCCAACTGGAAGTCCCCCTCTGCCGAGCATCGATGAGGCCTTTCAACCTCCGATGAGTCCTTTCTGGCGTTCCCTGGGCGTCACCAAGTTGGGACGAGGCACTCAGAAGGCAAAGGCAAAGGCCGCATCAAACATCTAGAGATGTATATTGTATATAGATTGTACAGTAACATAAATATCATATAATATATATATATACAATATATATATATACATATTTGTGTACCGCCTAGTCACCGTAATAGTGAGCACCAGAAG